TTGTACCAGTGCCCTGTGAGGGTGTGGTATGCATGATCTCCACCCCGGCTGCTCCAGATGTCTGAGGTGAAGTGCAAGGCTACCTGCGGCCCTGTCTTGTACAGCTCCTCCCTCAAGTACTCCCTGCATGCCTTATACAGGGAGGGCACCACCATCCTGCTGAAGGTGGTGCACGTGGGCACTTGGTGGGATGGGGCCACGAGTGCCATGAGCTGCCTGAACCCTGGCCGCTCAGCTAAGGAGAAGGGCTGGCTATTGAGAGCAAGCATCTCCCCAATGCTCTGGATGATTTCACTCACCTTTGGAAAGCGCCCCCCTTTGTCTGCGGCTTTTCCCCACCACTCCAGGGTGACCTGCCTCTGCTTTGTGGGGATGGGAGCTTTGGAGCGAGAGGGGGACTTCCCTTTGGGTATGCTCCCACTGGTGCCAGGCTGAGGAGGAGCAAGGGGAAGGGGGTGCTGTTTCCTGAGATGCAGCAGCATTGCCGTGATGGTGAAGTTATTCACCTCCTTGCCCCAGCTGATCTGCCTTTGGCAGTGCTGGCAGATGGCAAACCTGGGATCATCTGCCACCTCAAAATAATCTCAGACGACACTACTCCCTGCTTCTGGGTTGAGGGTGGGGATCCTGCCTTAAACCCCTCCTCAGCAGGCAGAGGCTCAACAGCAGGGTAAGCTCAGCCACCTACCCCCACAGCCTCCTCTGAGGTGCCTTCTGGAGCAGAAGACCTGGCTCTATGGAAACTTTGAGAGGTGTGGAGCACAAACTCAGATTCCCCCTCAGTCCCCAGAATTTCTTTTGCTAGGGCGCTCAGGTCTCCTGGTCCCAAGTCCAGCTCCTCCCCTGGCAGTGGGAAATCAGGGTGGAGACTGTCATTCTGCTGCTGGTGGCTATTTCTGGTGTTAGGGGAGCTGGTCCAGGTGATGGGACAGGTACTGTTCCAACCACCTTGCTCCCACTGGCAGCAGAATACTCATGGCTGCCAGGAAAGAGGATCCATCTATGTGGGGGGAGGGGAGGGGGCTGTAGTTCTTCCCCCACCCCCACTAGACCCTCTCCCTCCCCTGCCAGAAGACCTGGCACCTGACTTTCCAGCATGCTTCATATTAATCTTTCCTGTGCTGGAAAAGGAATGAATGCGCGCGCAGCTGTAGTCTCTCTCTTCTCTGATGTATGACTGTCTGACTTCTTCTTTGTTGTGTTTATTGTATGTGTGTGTTACTACAGTAATATTTCTTCTTCTGTGTTGTATTTAGTCTGTATGTATATGTAACTATATAATATCTCCTTCTTCTTCCCTGATGTATGACTATCTGACTTCTTCTGTGTCGTGTTGAATAACATCTCTTCCTCTCTATGTATGTGTGTGAGTGTGTGTAATGTATTTGCTTTCCTGCACAGTGATGGATCACATTGCTGGGAAAGCACAGCTTTCTTTTTTAAAACTCTGGGGAGGGGACACACAAGAACAAATAAGAGATTTTGGGGGGAAGAATAAGTTGAAGGAAATGGATTGGATAGGGATAAGTCGAGAAATTTTAGTTAGTAAGTTGTATCCAATCCTTTCCAAAAACAGAAACTAGCAGGAGGCTGACTAGGTAGGAAGCCAAGCTAGTCCAGTACCTTTCAGATGCTGTTGCTCAGGCAGAAACAGCTCACAAAAGAGACAGAAAGGCTACAGACAGTGGCTTATATGCTGTTTCTATGTCCCTCACTGGCCATATTTTGCCCACACCTGCAATCAACCATAGTCTACATGCAAAAACAAAGGGAGGTAGTGTTTAAGATAAGCTTTCAAACTTTTATTTATTGTAAATCAACCAAATATCTTTAAATCCAAGGTTCAGCAGCATTTAGCAAAGCGCTTCAGTACACAGCATATCACTCTAGTGAAAAATATTCCAAGATATAATTCTAACACAGGGTTGTCAAACTTATTTGGCCCTGCTCTACATGTAGCACATGAGACTGGTGTGGGCTGTGCACTGCCTGAGGTTCGTAGGCTGGACCTAGTGCTACAGGCAGCACAGTAAGTCAGTCCAATCTATTGCTCTTGCTTTTCTAACAGGGATGCATTATGGGGAATACAGTGAGCATTGCAACTGGTAGAGTTAAGCTTAAATGTTAGGAAATACGATACTGCAAAATCACAGCATAAGAAGATACAACTTCAAGAAGTACATAGGGTGAAGAACAGTTATGGTTTAGTATGGCACATCAGGTAGCAGGACCCATGGGGAGCACCCAATCCCAGTGTGCAGGGCTGGGCAGGGGTTGGACTGAGCCCCAGGTCTGAATCTTGGTGTGGTGAGGCTGGAAGGGGGTGGTACTAACACCTTGGTGACCAAACCAGGGGTGGGATGGAATGATGTCTGATTCCCAAGACCCAATCCTGGCACATGGGGCAGGGAGAGGGTGGTGTTGGGCCCAGGCCCTGGTCTGGCCCACAGAGAGTCTGATCCAGCTCACAGGGCCAAAAGTTTGAGAACAACTGAGATAAGTAATTTTACTGGACTACATCAATCATGGTAGCCTGAATATTCTAACTGAGGAGTCCCTCAGCCATCATCCCTACTACTCTGTGAGCTGTGGATTCTTTACATTGTTAAAAAATCTATCATAACTGTCCGACTTTGATTGGAAGTCAGATCGGTCACTGTGGCCTTAAACTCTGTCAGCCCAAATTTAACATCCAGTCTCACCTGGCGCTTTCTCCCCAGCTCTGGGTTTGGCATTGGTACAGTACAGGAGCCAAGCATTTTCATCCCTTCCTCATCTATGTACTTTGCATTCTCCTTTTCTGTACAGCAGAAGCAGAGCTTCATATTTGTCTGATCTGGTTCCACAGGAGTGAAAGTGTAATGGGCAGCTTCATCTATGTTTATCAAATCCCCAATTCCTACCAATCTCATAAAAAGGTCTGTGCAGTACACATAATTATCGGTTTTTGAGACTCTCTTTTTCCTTTCATCGTGGACAGCTGCATCAAATGCATGGCATACCGCTACTCCGTATGTCCGTGCACTGATTCTTGAGGCAACAATTTGTGAATTGTACCCAAACAAAACAGCCCCCTTAACAATGGCTGCCTGGGCCTCCATGGGGCACAGGATAAAGTAACGCTCACTGAATGTGTGGTAGATCTCATCCCTCAGAATAATGCTGGAGGCAAATCCCCCAACAAGCAAAATATACTGGACTGTAGCCATTTCGGGTTTCCTGAGGATTTCCTTCAAAGCACCAACAATTTTCCCAGTGCTGTACGCAAAAAAGCTCTTCATTTTCTCATACGTAATCATGATGATTCCATCATGCCAGCGAGCTCCTTCCACATGATTGAAGAAGAGAGAGATGTCTTGCTTCTGTTCAGCCACTCTTATTAGGTTGGTGTAGCAATGGAGGTAGACATCATCTCTACTAGAAGAACATTTTTGGAGGCCAAAGTTGTACATCATTTGATGGAATTCTGTTGGATATTTTTTTATGTATTCATCCCATATTCCTCCGTGGAATATTCCCCTCAGGAAGGCTTTGAAGTTTTCATCCACTATGTTCCCTCCCCATCCTCCTCCAGATGCCTTATGCAACTCCTTTAGGGTTTTATCCTGTTGGATTTCATGCACCGTGATGTCTATTGTACCCCCTAAACACCAAAGAATGAAGTTTGTTAACTTGTTTAAAAAAAATAACTAGCCACAAAACCTCATTGGCTTGATTTTTATCTCCCACTTTTCAGACCTATGTCTCATTGCTAGTGCTTAAGAATTTATTTAGATCCAGACCTTTTGCTGGGGGCATTTTGTTTCTATGGAGATGACAGACCTGATATTTCATCTCTTTTGCAGAACTTCTTAAAAGGACTGAAATTGGGGAAACCTGTTTAGACCAGGGTTTTGTTTGGCAGAGATGCCTGGGAAATGAGATCCAGTCTGCACCCAAGGGTAAGTAGCCCATGTGTTGTAGAGGGGGGCTGGAGCTTTTGGGGTACTAACCCTCAGGGATTGTAGCAGTGGTTTATATGGCACTTTTCCACACCTGTGACTATCCTGCATTTAATGAGCAGTTTATGCATACATTTTGGAAAAGAGAACTGAATAAGTGTGTAGCCACTTTTTATAGTGCTGAGGCAACAGTTAAACAATGCTCATCACAGACTGAAGGGGGAAAAAACCATTACCTCCACAATCAGCGACAATGTACCGAGTCCCAGGTGACTCTTCAAACTTCTCTCTGTGACTACCTTCTGCCACAAACCCAGACCGAGGGAGCTGCTTGCACCAGACAGATGCAGCCTCTGGTTCCAGGGCAATGATGAGCTTCTCTGAAAACATGTCAGTGATAAGCCCAGCCTAAAATTACAAGTTACTTAAAATTAAGTCAGGAATGGGAGCCAGATCCTTCCTTCCCACCTCTGAGACATAACTTGAACAAAGTACATGGACCAGACATTTCTACTTGCAAGAATGGGCATCCTGGACTAATGGTACAAGGCAGGGGTCAGCAATGTGGGCGGGGGAAAGGTGGGGATAGAGAACAGAGCCCTCTGCCCCAAAGGTCCCCCAGCATCTTGCTGGCTTGGGGCTCAGAGAGGGGCCCAAGCCAGGTCCATGTGGTACAGGGTCTCGCTCCCCAGACCCAGTTCCCAGCACAGTCAAGTGTGGGGCAAGGCAGCTATGCTGCAGCTGCTGGCTGCTGCTGCTGTCCAGAGGCTTGGTGCAGGGAGGGGGGGAGTCCCCTACCCCCAAGATGCCAGCTAGCAAGCTGTGGGAGGCTCCTGTGGCAGGGGGCACCATTTCCACCCCCTTTCTCCACCCCCAGCTGCTGCTGACAGTTGCTAGCTAGTGAGGGGGGGCACTCTGGCAGCCTCCTGGCAGGCAGGAAGGCACCGAACCCCCTCCTCCCCCACCGAACACTGCATATCTGTTCAGCTGGAAGATGCTCTAATGTCTAGCACTTCAGGTAAAGTGCAATAGTTATAACTCGCTTGAGAGCCCCCTCCTGTAGTACCTTCCCCATCACCCTGTGGCACAGCGTTTTGAGTTTTAAAAGGAGGCTTGTTGGCAGGATGAGAAATCCCTGCCCTCTGAGTGATGCAAACTGGAGAGAATCTGAGGGGAGCAATCGAGCTGTTACTCCTTTACTTCTTTTGCAGCCAATCGCATGAACTGTCTGGCAGAGGCATCCCATATGGCTGGAACAGTAACAACCCAAGTGACGTCCTCTGGCTCACAGGCAGTTTGGAACGAGGCCTCCCCAATGCTGTTCAGGGCATGGTCCTTCATGTAACGCAGACTCTCCGAGAAGACAGTCAGGGCAGGGAGCATCCTTCCATCATCTGCTTCCAGCTCCATGTTGGAGGTGATTTTCTACAAGTGAAAAAAGAAAACAGCAATAAATAATTAGGTAGTGCTTGGGGCCCTCAGAATGGACCATGGCCTCTTTGTGCTAAGCATTGTATCAAATGTGTAGCAGACTGGTGGCTCCTGCAGTCTTAAGTAGCCACAACGAGCTTGTAAAGCGCAGCTCAGGTACACTCTAAATCTCAAATAAGAGGGATGGGAGGGAGTCCCACGCTCTTCACATCCAAGTTCATGTACAGACTCAGAGTTTGCTTGATAAATAAATTGGAGAACTGGGACATAGCACAATGAAATTTAACAAAGACATCTAACGAATAGAAATGTATGCATACAGAACTGGAGGTAACTGGTGATGCTGTAGCATTGTTGAGAAGGATCAGGCATTTGTGTGGTGTGAGGGAGACTGAAACAGGTGCAGCCATGTTGAGAGTTGTAATCTGGCTCCCACTGGGGACTGTCCAAATGTTATTACAGTCCACTTAATACAGTCTGCCTAGTGGGTGCAAAGGACCAGGACTCTGATCACCAGGAATCTTAGTTTTCCATTTGTCATGGAAAATCGCAGAAAAATGTGGTATCTGTGTTTTTCCACAACCTACCAAAAGTGCAATGGCACTCCAGTGCTATCTTTTCTCTCTCATTTTTGCCATGGTTTTTGCCTCTTGGCCAGTCAGCAGCAGGAGCGCAGAGTGGGGTTGCTGACTGGATGAGAAGCAAAAACCGCAGCGAGAATAAGAGAACAGAAATGGCACTGCTTGCAATGGGATGCTGCTGTGCTCTTGGTAGGTCACAAAAAGATGCACCTTTTTGTGGTTTTTTAAAGAGATTTTCTGCCTTTTTTCTCCACAGAAAACTAGACTCCCTAGTCCTTGCTCCACACCTCCCTTTATTTATAAGAGAGCAAAACATTATAAATGAGTAATAATAACTCAGAGCCCTTAAAACCATTTACAGTGCTATACCAACTAACTAATATGTATACCTAAAACTACGAATAGCTGTTTAAAGGTCAAGTCTTGTCTGCTCACTCTTCCAGACCTTGTCCTAACCCAGGGGTGGGCAGAATATGGCCCTCAAGCCAGATATGGCCCATGGTGGGTCTTTGTCTGGCCCATGGCAGGTCCCTCAGTCCCACCTGGCCCAGTCATAGTCCAACTGTAGCGGGTCCTGCTGCCCACCGGGCATATGGCGGGCTGGGGCGGCCCCACACTAGGACTGCCTTTTTAGGCAGCCCCAGGTGGCAGGAGGTTCCTTCTGGCTGCCGCTGCCACTGGCCCCGGGCCTATGGTACTGGTGGGGACCCTCACTGCACAGCCCTGACCCTGTACACCCTGTACCTACTCCGAGCTCACCCACTCTCCTTCAGCAGCAGCAGCATGGGACAGAAGCTGCTGATCAGTATGGGGTAAAAGCAGCTCATCCCCCTCACCACTGCCAGGACTTCCTGGTGTAGCCTCCCAGAGCCCATGTGGGGCTGCTCTGAATCTATGCTGTGTCACCGCTGCCTCTGGGCTACACAGCAGGGCAGCAGTGGCAGCGCAGAGCAGACTCAGGGCAGCGCTGCACAGGCTCCGGGCAGCTACACCAGGAAGCACTAGCAGAGGCAAGGGAGGGAGATCACTTTTACCTCACACTGAGCAGCTTCTGTCCTGTACCACCTCTGCCAAGCCTGGGTGGGCAAGCCTGGAGCAGGTGCAGGGCACACAGGGTCAAGGCTGTGCAGCATGGGTTCCTGCCAGTACCATGGGGCTGCGGCCAGTGGCACCAGCAACCAGAAGGAGCCACCTGCCACCTGGGCTGCCTAGGAAGGTAGTCCTGCTGTAGGGCCACCCCAGCCCACTGTGTGCCCAAGGCAGCAGGGTGTGCCACGGGTGAGCAGTGTGGAGTGGGCCGGGTCTGGGCTGTGCCTGGGTTCTGGCTGACCCGCTCCAATGAGGGTGAGTCCAGAGCGGGCACAAGGCGTGTCGTTGGCAGTGGTGGGGAGGTACCACAGGGCACATGGGCTCTGGGCTGTTGCAGGGTGCGCGCTGACTGGCTCAGGGGGCACGTGCGGGGGGCTCCCATGTACACCCCAACATACCCGCAAACCCTGCAAACCCCACAACCACACCTCCACGCACAGTCACACTTCCCACAAACACTACACCCATTCACACCCTCCCCCCCCCCCACGCCTCTGGGGGGAGCTCCATGCACTGCTACACACACACACATATGCATCCACCCCCTCCACAAACCGGGTTACCCTTGCAGCCCTGGACAGCTCACCAAAATTCTTTAAGTGGCCCTCCAGCCAAAATAATTGCCCACCCCTGTCCTAACCTCTTTAGAGCTCCTGTCTCTAACTGAGCCTTCTTTCTAACTTCCTTGAGGTGAAAGATGTTCCTTGAGGTGAAGGATATTCCTTTTTATATTGAGGGGAAAGATGTTGAACATGAACCCTATTTCTCTGGAGAAGGCCTTTTAGAATCCTCCATTAAGTAGGAGCTAGGGGTGTTAAGAATATTAACAAAAATTAATTTTAGATGAATGCATGAAAGAGTGAATGCATATGGTATCAAGCATACCCAGTCTTCTGAGAAAGTAGCCTTGAGAAGAACAAACAAACCATCTACAAGAAGATAAAGAGCAAGCAGACACCTTGTTTCCCCTGTCTCAGGATGTTGTAAATCAAAGTGACTCCTTACCATCCATCTTACCATCTGCATGTCTTAGCCTTACCATACATCTGCATATCTAAGCCATAAGGTATGTGACTACAGTCAGCTTAACAGCAACAAAGTGGTTGGCTAAGCAGGTTGTCAGGGGCACTGTAGCAAAGTCTGTCTAAACTAAGTATAAAAGGACAGTGAAGATCAGGCCCCAATAACATTGTATGCCATCCACATCAACTAAGGAGAAAATTACTGGCATCCCACTTACTTGGTTGTACAGCTTCATCTTGAAGTTCTGGAAGAAGTACCACTTGGGAGCTTCGCTGGCAGGCAATGTGTTGTACTTCATGACAGCATCATAACCAAACTTCTTAAATTCTTTCTTCTCATTAAAGAGAATGCATGTGGGGGTCTTCACAGTCTTGAACCCATGCTCCATGCCCCAAAACACCTGACGGATTTGGTCTACACATGACACAAGGGCAAAGCAGTACCCACTGTAAGATGTACCAAAGTCAATGGCAATAATGAACAAAGACTTATCTGCCATGCTTATAACTGAAGAGGTAGAATGCAGTACAACCTGCTAGAACTGACTGCTGCAAAAGTGAAACAGCTTTGTCGTTATTTTTGCAAAGCAAATCCCCTTTCACTACAGTCACTTCTTTCTGTTTTTTTGATTGTGTGGCCAGCAGAATCTATTCCAGGAACAGGGCAGTGGAGGAATATGTGGTACTTTCTGTAATAGGGAGGAGACTAACTCTGTTCTCGGAAGAACCCACACCCCAGGCACCCCCACCTTCCCATCCTGTTTGTGCAAATGAGAAAGTACTATTCTTTGTTTTTGAAAGAGTTTCCCAGGTTTCTCTGAATCTGGTTCTACTCAGACAAGTTGTCTTCTGCTCCTCTGAATTGGGAGAGACATTCGCTGCTTTGTTAGAAGCATGAGACAAGGGAAAAATACTAAGCCAGGAAGAGCTGAAAAATTTAATGCTGGGACACAGCCGCAGCTTCAGATGGAGACTCACAGGTACATTGGATGGGGCCAGAACTCAGTGGATTATCACCAGGAATCTGGGTTTTCTGTTTGCTATGAAAAAACATG